ACCGGTCTAGGCAGGATCAAGAGTGACTCATTGCTTGGTGGTTTGAAGGAAGTTTGTGGTTTGTATGGGCGGATCACAGTTGGAAATCAACTCGCATTCATATAGTTAGGTTTGTTTAGGAATTGAGTCTTCCATTGGTTAAGCTATACCCTACCTAGAGAGCTACCATGGTTCGAATGGGAAGTTAGTCCAGGAAGCTGAAAGGTAGAAAGACTAACCAACATTAAACCATGGAAATAGAGCTATGGTAGAGCTACCGCTCCACAGAAAGTAATTCTACCTGATGGTTTGCTTGTTTGTTAAGACCTGGCAGTCCGGTAGGGATTGTTATGAACCAGGCAGGAAAGCTATTAGGATAATCGTAATGGTTATACTAGTACTACCTTAGCCAAACCGACACAAGTTCGTAAGTAAGGTCAGGTACGGGAAGAGTCATAGAGGTTTGACGAACTCGATTTAGGCGGCATACGGCCAAGGGGATAGAGGATAGACAGGAAACCGCTTGGGCTGTCCACAGTACAAGTTGGTATCGTGAGCTATCCACAATTAACAGATAGTCTTATGTTTGTATTTCTGCAGGGACGGTTGCCGTATGACCATAGATGTCATGGGTAACGTATTGGGATAGTCATGCTTACGTGGGACCGATCATACGGGGGCAAATGTATTGTTTGAAATGCTTCGGCTATTGATTGAGAACGTAGAACAATGGACTAGGATTAAATAATGTTGTGAATCTTAGGAGAATCTACAGTAGAGAAACATACAAATTGATAGGATAGTAGGTTCACAATGCCACCTTCATATTAATGTATAGGGGCGTTTGTATGGCCATTCGTCGCCGACTTGTTTGTGTTTGGCCTGAAAAAGTGTCACGAAGCCCCTGCAAACTAGAGGTTTGACCGGATGACTAGTTAAAGAGGGGGAAAGTTCGTCGACGGGCAACTATTGGCCATAAGGGCCCAAGGCTACGGCCACAGTTAAGTTTCAAGTAAAGTGGTCCTAAGGTCACAGGGTTAAAGTGGACCTAAGGTCACAAAGTTAAAATGGACCTAAGGTCATAGAGTTAAAATGGACCTAAGGTCGCAAAGTTTAGTAGACCAATGAGGGCTACACAGTTTATCTGGAAAGATTCAGCAGTTAAAGGCAGTAGGCATTGTGCTAAGGAATCATGTGAGGGTTATAGTAGTTAAGGGTAGATAGGTAGTTAGGTTGTGATATGAAGTAGACCATCTTACTGAGTATTCAATACTCACCCCTTTACCAGGCTTGCAAGATAGGAGATTCGGTCAGGTGGCTCATAGGACGGCAAGGCAAGAGAATGCGGCATGCGCGGTGAAGTCTTTCTCAAGGTGTGGTAGTATAGAGTTCCATATGTTGTATTTTTACCACATAATGTATTAAAGAAATTTTAGAGAAGTGAATACTTAAGTTTGACTAACACTTACGGTAGGATTCATAGTCCTTGAGCCAGGTGTTATAGATGTCCTTGAATCTTGGACTCCATATGCCGTTGAAAATGGCATCTAAAGCACCCCATGAGGGAGGATTACCATGGAATTGGCTTATGATAAATGGTTCCCATTGCTTCTGATTTCGCTCGATCACTCCGTTAGGGATCTTCATGCAAATTTCTCCCGAATCAAGGAGAAAATTTGTTCCTTTCTTCTTCATTTTGTCTAAAGGATCTTTGAATAGGTCAATCCATGTATGCTTTGAAGGCTATGATTCTGCTTCAACTGTGGCTGAAGGAGAAATTTCAAGGAGATGTGGCGGACCAAGTGTTTTCGGAGAAATGGAATTCGGGGCATGTCCTAAAATTTATGTGACTGTTGGCCCCGAGGAGGAGGATTCACCTACTGCTGGGTCATGTTTAGCACTGTGGTGAGGGCTCGAAGTCGACGACGAGAAACGCTCAATTGGTATAGGAATGTCTGGGAGAAACAGAGGAGAAGAGAATTTAGGGATTGAGAATTTGGGGGTTTTTGAAAATGGAGGTTTTGATGGAGGTTTCAGAGTGGAGCGTTTATTTTGCGCCATTGGAGCGGAGGAGGAGATTTGCCGCAGCCGAGATCGGCGACAGCGATTTCGAAGAGGAATGGGTTTCGACGGGAGTTTACATCGTCCTTTATGTTTATGTAAAAAAAAAAGGGAAAAGAAAAGTTGTAAAACAAAAATCATAAAATTAATTTTTTATTCTAAACAACCATCATTAGTGCTTTTTTGTTTTTTCTAATATACCACTTAGTTTATCTTTCAAAAGTACCACAAAAATAAACTAAATTAAATCCTCAAATCAAAACCCTATATCTTCAAAACAAAACCTATATCTCAAATATTTAAGCTATCCATCCTTAAAAATTCGTTTAATGTTTGGTATTTTTGGATACAGCAAATTTAATGGTAGTTTTGGGAGGGAAAAAAAATAGTTGTGGTATGTTTGAAACATAAACTTATTTTATTGGTATTTTAAGAAATTTTTATAAATCTGATTGCTCCTCTCATAATTTGTTGTTTATGTTTGTTGTCTAAACTGATACAAAATTTTAATTCTACTAAACTTCAACATATGATATGGTTGGAGTTATAAAAACGGAAAATTGCAAAAAATGCCATTTTTGGTTTATCATTTAAAAAAAATACCATTAATTAAAGAATTTTAAATTCTAAATCTTTAAATTCTAACCTTAAAAATTGTTTTGACCCCTAAC